TTTTGTTAAACAACTCAAGTTGAGCCAAATATAAAAGTTGGCGTTTACATCTTGGAGAAGGACATACAAAAAGTTGGATCAAATTTGTCCATGTTTTGACCAAGTAATTCGAGCTCAAGCAGAGCAAGGCTTAACCCTCGTTAAGTCGTTGACACTGTCAAATGGGAGCTTAATTAGCCGCTAATGGGAAACTCTACTGCCGGGCAGCCTTAATAGAATTTGTAGAGCAGTTAGTGGGCTTCAACTTTGCTTTAAGGCCCATGGCCCAGTTCAACCCGTAGCCAGCCCAAGCACGGCCTCCATGATAGGATGAATCATGCCCGCCACTTGTTCAGTGCTATGGACGCGTGGCCTTCATGCACCCGCCACGCCCCCGACCTTGCGCCCACGCATCATCGCTAGCGATGTGAAGATGCGAAGCTGCCCCAGACGCTCCTCACTCGCTCCATTGACCTCTCGCTCTCTCCTCCTCGCTCTGCTCCGCGCTAGAGCGCACGCTCACCATGGACAGGGAGTGGATCTCCATGGCCGACCGCCACCAAGCACTCTGCAGCCTCAACCAACCTCGCCCTCCCCTTCCTTGCCTCGCGCTGCCGCCTCTTAGCCGTCTTCTCGGTCGCGTTGTCGCCACTGTCGTCTTCACATTGGCCTTGCCGGCATTGAGCGCTTCTCATGCCATGCCATTCTTTGCACTGCCGCCAGCAAGCCAAGCTTGAGCTAGGTGTGTGACGTAGATGGCCACGGCTAGGCCAGCTAGCCCCTCCCCTGCTGTCGCCGGTCGCTCCCCCGTCGGAGTTCCAAAGCCCGACCCTGCTCTGTGTCCGTTTTGTCGATCTGAAGGTAGAAGAAGAAGAAGAGCCTCGGGTTCAAATAGAAGAAAAGACATGGGGTGAAGTGAACAGCCATACTTGATCTTGTATAAATTGGACGGTTCTGTCACAGCTCCGACTCTGCTTCTTCCATGGCTACGTCATGATGGATCGGCTCCTAATGGAGTTGGCCGCGGACATCGCTGGCCGCGTCGCTGAACAGTCATATGCCCCCATGGGCGACCTTGCCAGCCTGCGGGCAACCTGCTCGTTCATACGTAGGGTGTGCGGCACCGCCAAAGTTGCCCAGCACATACCACTGCACCGGGTGCTGCAGCGTCAAGGTTTCTGGGAGCACCACTACTACAACGATGACTATCGCGCCCTGCTCACCACCGGGCTATCCAACATGGGCAATTTGGAGGCCTGCTTGCTCGCCGTCTTGCGTCCTGTCTTCGTGGAAGCCCGTGGGTTATTGACGCCGCCGATTGAATGGCTTAAGCACTCCGCCAAGACAGGCCATAAACTTGGCATGTGCGTCTTCGCCCTCGTGCTCTACAGATCCAATACCGGCGGCGGTAATGATGACATTACTCGACGCCTGTTGAGGGAGCTCGAAGGTGATGATGAAGTGGGGCCGGCTGCACTGCCGTGGAAGAACCAGACCTGTACACGGTGCCGCAAAGACGTGTACTAGTGGTTGCAGGACATGGTGCCATAGCATGTAGAGCCCATTCTTCGCCCCGTTCTTCCCCGGAACGGGCATTGCACAAGCGGCGACTACGGCGAGCCTGTCGGATTTGAAGAATGGGACTTATGGGCTACGTTCTGCAGCGAGGAGTATAGGATCTCACGTGAGTGCTATAAGTTATTCACATCAGTGTGGTAGATTAATTATGAATTAATGCATGTTAAGTTGTGTTAAACATCTATGTATATATATCTGGTTGGTGACTTTATTTTAATTTGGCAACAACATCAACTATATATGTATCTCGTTGTTCAAAGTTTGCTGGTTTTGACCGTATTTTTTTCCAGAGAGGTAGCGCGCGTGGATCGCGGAGCCGGGGGTCCGGCCTCGGGAGAAGAAAAGGATCTGTAAAGGAAGCTGTGGAGAGCGAGGGGAGGGGGGAAGAAGATATTTTGGGCTACACAGTATAAACTAGTGGACACAACGTACGCCGTGGATCTGGAAATCGGATAAACTAGTGGACACAACGTACGCCGTGGATCTGGAAATCGGATGGCTGAGACATTTTTAGGCGACGTGGACTAGTTAGAAGGCGAGAAACATGTGCCAATTTGTATAAGTAAAAATTAAGTTGTGTTAAACATCTATGTATATATATCTGGTCGGTGACTTTATTTTAATTTGGCAACAACATCAACTATATATGTATCTCATTGTTCAAAGTTTGCTGGTTTTGACCGTATTTTTTTCCAGAGAGGTAGCGCGCGTGGATCGCGGAGCCGGAGGTCCGGCCTCAGGAGAAGAAAAGGATCCGTAAAGGAAGCTGTGGAGAGCGAGGGGGGAAGAAGATATTTTGGGCTGCACAGTATAAACTAGTGGACACAACATACGCCGTGGATCTGGAAATCGGATAAACTAGTGGACACAACATACGCCGTGGATCTGGAAATCGGATAAACTAGTGGACACAACGTACGCCGTGGATCTGGAAATCGGATGGCCGAGACATTTTTAGGCGACGTGGACTAGTTAGAAGGCGAGAAACATGTGCCAATTTGGTATAAGTAATAAGTAAAAATGTCTCGTCTCTATATTTCCAAACAATGACGCTGCAGTGGAACCAGCTCCGACTTACGATACATACGATTTATTCTGATTGTTTTTTAATCACCACAAGAACACAAGTACACAACATATCCGGTTGCCAGTCTGCCGTTACTGTGTCAACGGTGTCTTCCAACGGCGTACTCCCTCGTCCCAAAATAAGTGCATTTCTAGAGTGTAGGTGAAGAGATCAAGGTTAGTGAGAAATTACATATATGTCCCTATAAAAAGCGTAATCCTTGCACCTTGAAAAGGGAGAAAATAGAAAAAGACAAGTGAAATTACTTTATCTTTATATGCAGAGGTACACTTATTTTGGGAAAAAATTTGAATTCTAGAAGTGCATTTATTATGGGACGAAGGGAGTAGTCAAGATTTAATTAGGGTAGAGCGGTCCAACTTAGCATACTTTATATCTCTTATAAAGCTAATTCTCAACCCAAGTTCTATCCCAACATGCAAGCTTTCCACGTCACCTTCCATTAATTATCCATATTATCTCTCACTATAGTCATGTCATCTCACAAACTTATAATCTCTTAATGCAACTGATTTTGATATGAATGGATGTAAGAACACTAGATGATTTAACTGAGATGTTCGACACATTTATTTCTAAGAGAGTCTCGTAGCGATGCATAGGGTATCTTCTAGTCAATTTTATTACGGAGAAAAAAAAATCTTAGAGATAGAAGACCTCTCACGCAAACAGAGAATATTTTCAAACCCCATGCCTCGTTCACACAATCACACAGCAATGTCGTTGCTGGGGTGCTACTAAAACGCCTTGACCATCAGGTCTAGGCGCCGTTCGCTTACAAAGAGCAAAAATTATATCATTGTGTTGTAACCGGGCTTACAATTTTTTTGCAGTCATTTGGACCCATACGACCATACCTAACAAAAGGTAATGAGCTAACTATCTTTGTTACATTTAATTACATTGGACCAAACCTTATTTTTATTAAATTAAATAAATTTCAAGACACATAATTAATGCTTGGTGCAAAAGATTAATATCATATGTACAGGTTGAGAAATGTTAAAGACAAACCACGTGCTCACTCACACCGTTGTGACACGCACGGGTTGGGCTCTGCGGTTTAGGCCACAACATAAACAGTGTGGCTAACGTCCGGACGTCCTGACAGGCGCGGACGTCCGGACGCCCACATAGCCTGCCTCCGTCCACCTCACTCTGACTTGCACATGTACCCCGCCCTCAACACTGCGCCCGTTGCTCCTCATGTCCGGATGGGCGGCCGTGTAGCTCGCCCCCGCCTCGCATGCACACCCTACCCCCCCCCCCCCACAAGCCCCGCCTCTTCCTTCCCCCCTCCTCTCTCTCTCTCTCTCTCAGCGTGGTGGACACAGGAGTCGGCTCCCAGCTCACAGCCTGTGAGTATGCTAGTCCTTAGCTCTGCCACGCCCCATCCCTTGGCGTCCGGGCCGCACTCATTGTGCCCCCGTGAAACACTTGCAATAGAAAAACACTTGGATGCAACATACATCGGACACAGATGAAACATTAGAAATATATTGTTGCAACATATGTATGAAACATATGCCACATCTAGATAAAACACTTGCAACATGTGTGTGAAATATATGCAACATCTAGATAAAACACTTGCTGCAGCATACGTCTGAAACGAATTAAACATTTTTTCAAAACGCTTGCAACATACCACTGAAAATACTTACAAAAATATGCAACATCCCGATCTACTTTTACAACATACATATGTAACAATTGCAACATAGTTCTAAAATATCTGAAACACTTGAAACATACATTTGCAACATAAGAGAAGGGGAAGGCCGGGGCCGATCGATTCCCGTCGTTGGGGTGGGATCCGACTGCGCACGAGCACCACCAGCATTGGCCACGCTCCTGGGTGCCCTTGGCTAGGCGAGCACGACGAGGGAGCGAGCGGCGCAGGTGACTGGGACGCAGGTGAGCGGCGCGTGACGTGGCCGGCGATGGGGGGAAGGGCATGACGCGCCCGACGAGCGTGCGGTGGGGGAAGGTGGCGGATAAGCAGGGAGTGCGAATTTGTTTTATTTTCCGTGTTAGATCATTCTCGCGACATAAATGGTCTCAAGTTTTAAAGAAATTTTAAAAATAAAACAACGAACGGGCCTAGTGAGATAGTCTCACACGAAGCCCGGTAGGCCGAATTGCATGTGGAGCAGCGCCGTATACTTGGCGGATTTCCTACTCTGGCCCACGCCCCGCCTCTGCCAAAGGCCTTCGCGATGGCTTTTCTTTCTTCTCCTCTTATTATCGTCCAGCCGCCCCCGCCGCCGCCGCTGCCGACGGCGAGCTCCCGCGGCGAGTCGAGCCGCCGTCTCAGACCCTAAGCCCTAGTTCCAGCCCACCCAGTCCCTTAACCATGGAGGATGCCCTCGCACCGCCGTCTGTGACGCCGACCCCCTCCCCCCTCGCCGCCGCTGCCGTCCTCACTCGCCGGCGGTCACACCTCGACAGCGCCTCCTTCCGCACGCTCTCCCGCCTCTTCTCCCACTGCCTCCACATCAACCCATCGCCCTGCGGCACCGCGCCGCCCGAGCCCGTGCCCGTCGCCGCGGACCCTGTCGGTGGGGACTCCAACGATTCCCCAGAAAGGCCTAATGGCGCCGATTTTGATCGGCTGAATGATGTGGAAATCGAGGCGGTGGATGCGGGAGGCCCTTCGCTCCACGGGGCCGTCTATCAACCGGCCGCGGCGAACCCTACCCTCGACCTGGGTGAGGCTGAGGCTCTGCAGCTCGGGGGTGCGGACGCTGTAGTTGTAGAAAGCACCTCGTGTATGACCAGAGCCGAGGTGGAGGAATCAGCGGTACCCGTGGTAGAAAGCACCTCGTGTAAGACCAGCGCTGAGGTGGAGGGGTCAGCGGTTGGAGCTGGACTGGCGGCGGTGGAGGACGTATCTTTGAAGTCGGTGGAGTCTCTCTTGGAGACGAGGGTTGACGAATCGGTAGAGGTAGCAGTGGGTGATGATGAAGGCCGTCTTCTGCTTGAAGCGATGATGACAGACTTTACAGGGTTGATTGATGATGTTGATACTGGAGTGATATCAGCACAGAGTTGTACAGTTTCTGGAGGTGACCTGCAGAATAGCAAGGCATCTGAGGATTCGAAACAACTGGATGGTGTTGGGATTGAAGGGGGAGAACCTCTTAGAAATTGTGATCATCGGCAGAACGATGGTGGTGGTTTCGAGGAAGGAGAGATTGAGGGCGAGTTTCCGGATTTGGGTTCAGAAGAATCTGGAGATTCCGAGCATGGAGATGAAGATGGTGAAGATGAGAAATTGGAAGGCAATTCCATCGGCAGAGGCTCAGGGCCGGATAAAACTTGTGATCATGGCACACGGTTTAGGAATTTGCACTCAACACCTGAAATAGGAAATGATCATCTTATACTGAACAGGGATGCTATTGTCAGAGGTGATGCACAAATACCTGTTACCAGGGCTCAAGCTGTCACTTATGATGACGTTCTGGATTGGAATGAGACTCCGCTGCCTGACAATGAGGTACCCGATACTGGTTTCAAATGTTATTGTTTGTTGCTTCTTCTGTCTATCCATGCATTTTCCAGTTCATTTACCTAGTGAGGTTTAATGTTTCCTGTGCTGCCTTTTTTAAATGAATTCAATATATTTTTAAATCTTACATGTCAAGGTTATAAGCTACATCTTAAAATGATACATGTGCGCTCTGTAACGTCCTGTTCGTTTCATGTCAAAACCAAAGAGGATTGGAGGGGATTGAGGGGGATTAAATCCCCTACAAGTCAAATCCTCCTCAACGCCCTTCAATCCCCTTGATTTTGGGATCAAACAAACAAGGCCTAAGAGGAGCACAAAACTCCTTGCTGCAGATGGCCATCTTCATGCCTTGATCACAATAGGTTCTTCTCCGCTGATATATATTTGAATATGCTAATTTTCAGTATATGCCTTTCCAATCTATTACAGGCTCCCAACCCTGGGAAGAAGAGAAAACACACTCTGACAGAACAGAGGAAGGCTAAAAAGACGGTATGTTATAGTCTTGACACCATTTGAGTTCCAATCGCTTTTGTATGCATTGTTTCTTCTGAAGTGTGAAATTTGCTTTCTAATGTTATTGACAATTGACATCCAGAAAAATAAAAGAATCAACCGGGCACTGCAACGGATAGCTGATGGAGTCAAAAGACCAAAACTTACTCCTGTTATAAAGCCAAAAAAACCTTGCTACTTCTATGACCATGGGAAGTGCCAGCAGGTGAGTATTCTATGGCCAACGTAACGTATTTCCTTATATCTATTCACTTCAAGCAGATTGTGTTTTCATATAATGCTGCTTCTCTTTTTACATTCTTTGCCTTATTTTAGGCTGAAAGTTCATCAATGGTTCTGGTTTCCTTGTACTGTGATTTAGTCATCATCACAAATTCCTGATTGCTAGATATCATGGTCAAGCCGTATCAAATGCACAATTTGTTTAAATAACGAAATTGTCGATTTTATACTTTTTTTTTCTCGAAAACGCAGGAGAGCTGCACTTCATTATATTAAGAAGAGAATAAAGGGCAAGAGCCCAAACAACACCTCACACACCACACACACACTCACGCCCCAACTGTTGTCGATTTTATACTTAGTGGATATTATTTTTAAAATAACAGATATATTAAATAATTTTTTTGCTGATTGTTTGTCAATTCTTCTGATTTTCCTTTTCTCTTTTGCAGGGCAATAATTGCAAGTATTCCCATGATTTTACACCTTCAACAAAATCTAAGGTACCTATATATTGAACTTATCATATGATTGTAGTGTTTTTTATGCATTATAGTTATTATAGTTAGACTATTATATGGGTAGTTCACTAGTTTGTTTCTCTAAAGCGGTATGTCCTTCAAAGTAAACCTATTTTCCAAAGCCATCACTCAATCCATACTGAGTTACTGTCCTAATTCTGCTTTTATATTTAGGAATAGGGTACCACCCACTTAAAAAAAAGCAGAACACATTTCATCCTCACTTATGCATACTTAATACGTCAATAATGCTTCATTTCGACCTGTGCAAGATGCTGCTCCCTCCGTTCGAAATTGTAAGTTGTTTTGGCTTTTCTAGATACATAGCTTTTATTATGTATCTAGACATAATGTGTATCTAAGTGCATAGCAAAAGCTATGGGTCTAGAAAAGCTAGACCGACTTGCAATTTGGAATGGAGGGAGTAAAACAAAATATCCGTATTGGTGCTTATAATTAAGTTTTGCACGATGGGTGCTAACATGGTATTTGTAATTGGAATGTATGTTATTCCAAGGATCTGTTCAGATGGGGTGGAGTGCTAACTGCTAACCTCAGCTTTATCAAAGTGCATCTAAATTTCCTCTTACATGGATGTGTTGCATGACATGTTTTTTCTAATGTCTTCTCATTTCTTGCAGCCCTGCACACATTTTGCATGTGGTTCTTGTTTGAAAGGAGAAGAGTGTCCATATGACCATGAGTTGTCAAAGTACGAATGCCATAACTATAAAAACAATGGCATGTGTGCCAGAGGTGATAAATGCAAATTCTCTCATGTGGTACGTAATTGACCTAATTATTTCTGGCATTTTACTTATTTAAGTGTAATAGCCTGGGGCAATTTAATTTCCACTGAGTAATTTATACAAATTTCATTCTTTATCAGATGCGAGCTACAGAAGGTACTCCCACACAAGATGCAAAGACTTCTGATGCTTCACTGGCATATGAGAAAACAAACCTCAGGGAACATACAAGAAGCCAGAAGAACACAACAGTTCACAATGGTGCTCCTAGTAGTTCTATCCTTAGAAACCTCGCTGGTGTCTCTAGCAAATCTCAGAATGTTTCTAATCATATTCCAAAGGGTGTGCAGTTTCGTCCCTTTGGTAAAGGTCAATCGAATTTGAGCAGCCTGCACCTGGATGCTTTGTCCATGGAGAAGCAAAGGAATGCAAATGGTACTCAGCATAACCTCGGAGGACATGAAGCAGAAAGGCAAAAAATTGTGAAGCAAAGTTGCCAGAAACTGAATCTATTGCTAGAAGATAAGAATTCTTCAAAAGAAGCTACTAGGCATCCATGTTCAGACCCGAAAAAAGCTACTTTACCTGTTGATTCTATTGCAACACCTGGATCAATACATACTCAGCATGAAGTCTCAGAGGCTTCTAGGATTTTGCAGGAGTTCTTGTTTGGTGCTGGCAGTTAGAGGAAAGTATGTGTGAACTATTCTGCCTTTTGATACCTGTATTTTGCACTATATATTAAGTCAATATAAAATTTCGCTGGTTGCTGTTTACATGGATTGAATTCATGCCCATGTCCATTTGACTCTTCCGATACTCTGCCAGTTTCCTTGCTGTAACTGCATATCAAAGTTTGTTTTCTATTTTGGCTTCTTGCAAGGTCAACAGGAAAATTTCACTGTAGGCGAATGTATATAGTTGTTTTGGTACTAATAGAGTTGACCGAGGACTTAATTTTGCAGAAGATGGTACATGTTTACTATTTCTCTAGTCTTCAAAGGATCTTTTGTGGACTCCGTGAACAAGTTCAACCCACACTGTAGTTACATGGAGCAAATAGTTGGATGAGCTTACTGGTATGACAGATTGCCTCTTCCAATTAATACTTGCATGAACTAACTCAACATGTACATGAGTAACTCCTTGGACTAACTTTGACATATAATTATTGTGAACTTCACTTTGGAAGTCATTTCTCAGTTAAGATGTGAACTTTACTTCTTTCTTCATGTGGTTTATGTGAATTTGTGCATAATAGTAATCCATGACTTACCATCCCCATGTTTTTGATACACAATGTTCATTATATTGACGGATTAATTCTCCCTGTGCCACCAATAATTCATGAATTCCCTATATGCCATCGCCTGTGTTGGCATATAGGGATTTCAGTGGTTTTGCTGTGGCACAGGGATAATTGCATCAACTTGTGTGCAATTCCTCTGTTAAATTTATTGATGCTGTTCTTTTTCTATGTAAAATGGAGGAATGAAAATTTTCATGATCTTGATGGAGCAGCTTTGACAACTATATCTTGCCTTGATGTATCCGTAGTTGTATAAGCGTTGACAATTTTTGTAAGTATCCTGTTACCGACAATAGGGCTTGCTTAGTTGATTCCTTGTGAGTTATCCACAGCTTTGATACAGAAATCTGACGTGATCCCTTTGCTTAGATGTCATGGAAAAGTTGAACCTCAAGTCACGAGGTAGCACAACGGGACTTGATGTGTCATTATTCGGTTCCTAACAAGTGGACTGTTTTGTGAGGCACCTCCCCTCCTTTCTGGTGGGTTCCGTACATTGCTTTCTGTTGAGCTGTCTATTGAAATATGCTTCCCCATGAAAACATACTGTGTGTGGGCCGATTTCTCCAGCTGCTTTGGTATCAAGCTTCTGCCTTGCCTTTAGAAAGAGTTTGAGGAAAGAAAAGTGATCTTGTCAACTTTTTTTTTTCATGCCAGGGAACACAGATTCCTATTCCTCCATGCAAGAGCTTTACGTCCGTTTGCCACATGAGAATGGCAGGCAGCTATCATGGCTCCAGTTTAGTCTTGGATCATCCTCATGATTCAGGACACATCTGTGGCAGACTTGTGGGTACCTTCCTGGCGACCAACATTAGCCTGGTGCAGTGCATGGTCTGGGCTTTGCATGCATGCATGCAATACCCCCGGGATCTCCATTCCGATCTCTTGGGTTGAGAATTACTTGTGAAGTATTATAGCTGAAAAGATTGTGGTACGCCATAGCAGATGCTGAAGGCCCCAGGTATGTGCTGGACTGATCCGTGCGGCTGCTGCCCCGTGCCTACTTGTGTGCTGTCGAAATCTCTGCAGATGATGCATCGTTTCAGAGTTACATTCACATGGTCACTGAGAGGGTTCACATGCTGATTCATCACTGCAGCTTGCCATGGAAGCAGCGGGCATGTGAGTTGTGTCCCTCTACGCCTGACCGTCGTCACATGACCAGGTGACTGACGCTGTTTCTCACTACTACAACAGTCAAGTTTGTTCTGTCCATTATATGATGGTGTCCAATTCCTTTGAACAAATTACCCTACCCTCGGCAGTAAATCCACGGCTCCGTGCTCTCTTGTTTCTTTGTGTGTGTGTGCGCTTGCGCGCGCGTGTGGAAGGAGGGGTTCACATGCAACTGTCATTTTCCATTTACCAAGAATCCGGGCAGAGGTGTGTGGTGGTTATCTTGATTTGCTAAGTATTACTGTCACTGTCACTCCCGAAAGGAAAGCAACTGAGTCGATATTATGGTCTGAGCGACTTGTGCGGCTCAACATATAGGTTCATTCACGTGTCGATGTGGGCGTAGTTAATTTGTCGCTTTCTCTTGCTATTTGTGCAGAATTTGCGTTGGCAATAACAAGTTTACCAAGGGTCCACTTTTATATGTGGTCGCACGAAAGAATGTGACGTGTTATATTGTATAGCGATTTACCCGTGAGCTCAAAGCAGAAAGCAGAATACGTGTTTTCTTTTCTGAAAAAAAAAAACATTTCGGCTGTGTAGCATAGAAGAGAACAGCAGGAAAAAAAAAGGATGACAGATGCTCGATCCTGCACCTTCTTGTCACCTCTGCTCCTCCAAGCATGACAGTTCGATACATCATTCTAGTAGCTGTGGATTTTGTTTCTGAATGTCAGGCTTGTATGAGTTCACAGCAATGTTTGCTCGGCTTGGTTACATACCACAAAATATCTTCCCACTATTCATTTACTATCATTATCATCTGCCAGGTTGATGTAGCTAAACACAGCCTGCTTTCTGCAGCTTTTCGTCATATCTGTCAGTTGCCTCTTATACGCCGCAAACATTTTGAGCAGCTGAGGCAGGGTTGAACGGTTTCTGTTTTTATTTGGTCAACATTGGACTGAACCAAACCAATACACAGGCTCTGGTTTTGGAAAAAAAATATATATATAATTGCATGACTCTTTAGGGCATTTCTTTTCATATTCAGCCTATGATATGTGTCTCTCCCATTTGTGGTTTGTCACCCTTGACATCATGCCACTCGCATTGTGTTTTATGCTTCAGTACTTGCCATTTCCTTTTGCACTGCTGTCATGAATGTGCAATAGAGGAAGGAAAAATGAAAGGGTGATAAACAAATCTCATGAACACTATGAAGTTATTTTCGTGTAAAAAAACCTGCATTATTTTTTTTTCTTATGAACACCCCATTTCCAAGATAGCAGCTAGTCTAGTAAAATTTTTGGGCTCATCAGCTGAATTGTTGGACGCCGCAAAGTGAGCAGAAATGTGATGCATGTACGCTACTTTTCAAGATGCTCCGTGTGACTCTGCACTCCGTTCATCCTGGTATCTGAACATGGTTCACGCCGTTTCGTGCCTTGTCTCCTCCTCGCGCCTGCTGTATTAATCGTGCACAGGCACTACTGAGGCTGACAAAACAACTCCTCAGCTATGTAACCCCTGCATTCATTCAGCTACGGTTCTGAAGAACATGGATGGCCCCTCTTGAATTCAGCTGCAACAGCCGCTTCCTCAGACGCCTCTGCTCCCGCTGAATTCCTAATAGGATTCGTCCTGTATGTATTGTGTGGAGTACGTCACTGTTTTTTTTTTAACTGTCTTTGCTTTGACCGTTGTGCAAGAATAGCCTTTGTTGATGACTTTACGTCGCTTTCCCAGCCTTGTCAGATCAGACCTCTGGAGCAATAACAAGTACAGTTGATACTCATCAACTAAATAAATACTTAAACCTCCTGGAATCAAAATGCGTCATTTCTTCCTTCCTTTTTTTGTCTACTTAATTACATGCGTAAATCAGATTAGACATGTGGACTCAGGTCATGATGAAGCGTTTGAGCAGCAATCAGCAGCTGGTTATCGATAAGTATGAGGAATTTTTTGGGGGGGCTAATCATGGGTTCCGGACCTCTGGAGAGAGACGACTGGGCCTTTTCCAGTGCCATCGAGCTCGCGCTGTACATCCATCCATCCCCTTTCTTGGCCCCCGTATTTGGTGAAGAGACAGTGGGCACCATGAGCGCGTCCTACCAAAACTCGATTTTCTTGGCGGCAAAGCTAACAGACGAGGTGCCTGTCGGCCTGCTGCTTCCTGCACCTTCGCCAATGGCGCCCCGCACCCCTCCCTACCGTCCAAAACAACCTTCAGAACGCGATAGATGCCGACGATGATCCTTGAACCCTGGATCGTGCCTCAGCTCGTCCAGTTGTCTCATGCTCACCGCAGACATTTGTCTCACAGCCTACGAAAACGCCTGTGCTTCTTCTCTCATAAAAAGGTCTTATATATGCGTATCCTGTTCCTCATGCTGTCTACTATCTCGTCTAATCTTGTACTACGAGATACGTAGTACTAGCTAACTAACCAACCATTTTTGTATCTGAGCAGTTCTGTTTCCTTGTATCGACGACGACGACAACGATGACGACAAAATGAGAAATGCACCGGTGCAGTCAGGAGAGCGTTTGCTAGCTAGCGCTGTCCATGAGATTGTTGTATTCCAGCTTTCATGGCTCATGCTCTGCCTGAATCCTGAGCTTCCTTCTCCCAGATTAAAAAAAAACTGCGTCTGCATTCCGCAACCGCAACAGGGAGAGAGAGGGGCCACCTGTCCTTCTCGTGACACTGACACGGACGTGCCTATATCCGGGCTCATAATTCGCGCCTTGACCCGCCCCCATTTTTAAAGAAATCATACACTCTTAGAATTTGAGTACATTGACGCTGATATATACTCTGTGGCCCTACCATCATTTGCATGTAGAAACACGCATCAGCATGCTTATTTTATTTACTACGACTACTACCAGCAGCTAGCTAGCTAGAGCATGCAAAACTGTGTGCATTGACGACTGCTGATGTGTAATCGTGTCTTCTACCTGTCGCTGCTGACTGGGCTGCTTTGCTGGCACAGAATGCCAAGCAATTACTCCTGCCTGCTAATGATTGTCGCTGATGTTGTTCATGTGGATCTTCCTTTTGGTCTTGTTGTGCTGGGAAAAGGCTGAGGCTGGATCTAATCTTTCTCTGGATCGATGCCAAAACACCTGCATGCCACCTTTGCTAACTGCTCTGCAATCTGTCAATGATGTGCTGAAAAAAGCCAGATCAACAAGTCGTGTAGTGGATGACTGCCTTTTGCAGCCCAAAAAGGACCGGAGCATAAGACA